AATATTAATAATTAAGTAATAATATGAACACACCTCCAGACCACCAATGTGGGTTTTTATTTTCACTCTCTGCTCTACATCTTCAATACGGATTCCCAATAGTCACTGCTGCAGCTTTAGGTAAGTAACTCTAATTCCTGTGAACACCATAGGACAACATCCTGGAAGCACCTACGTCTCCTGGTTGCTAATGCACCTTACCTAAAAGCAAGTTATGGAGTGCAGCAAATTCATTCAAATGACTAAAAGTTTTGTTTTAAATACAAAGAATTTAAAGTTACTACATCTAACATGATGTTTGTATTATTTCATATATCACAGTCTATGAAATATTTACTTTACATTCATGATCTCTGAACCCCATAGTAGTACTGGGGACCTATCCCATATTACACTGAGGAAGTGAGAGAGTAACGTAAGCCCACTCTCCCTGGACAGAGTAAGAAAGCAATTTGGAGGCATTAATTATTCAGACACCTAAGTGGTGCTGGATACAGAGAGCCCATTCCATTTGGTTTAACCCCACGTGGGTCTTGAATGACCATGGAACTTTAAACCAATGAACGACCGTAGTTCCTCCAGATAAAACAGGCAGCACAGGGCCCAGAAGGGGCTCCTCCAGGACATTCTCAGACTCATCTCGGACAATCACGTAACGGCCAGTGTGTCCGAGTGCCAGGACTTTACTTTGTTCCAAGAGTCAAGAACAGAGGTTGCCAGCGCATAACCAAAGGATGCCCGAGGCTACCCCAGCAGCAAGCCTCGTGAACCCACCACGAACACTCACCTGATCAATGAGTGAACTAAGGTCGGAACTGTTGACAGCTGAATCTCAGGATTCAGGACTAGCGCTGAATCGGGAAGGACCGAGTTTTCTTCCTGTCTAAAGAGTGTGACTTGCTTGGATCCACAGTCACTTTTCATGTGCACAAACTCTGCTAGTTCAGCAAACACTAACTAGCCAGTCTTCAGAGAGCCCACTGCTAGCACGCCACAGCAGAAATCTCTCCCTCCTTCTCCCACACCTCCAGCCGAACCAGAACTGCCTGGCACCAGGCCAGAGGATGCCAATTGGACATAGCAACAGCCTGCCACTGTTTCTTTGTTTCCGTGGGAGATCTGAATCCACACAGATTGGATGAGTATTCAACATTCTGCATTACAGCTCCAGAATTAAATTGTTACCTCAACCTGATTTGATATCAATTTAATTCCTAGGAGTGATGTACTTACTTGCCTTTGAGTTTCTAGTGTAGAAGATGTAATCCTAGTTCATTTTCGAAACTATCTAAATGAATGGTATACTGAATGTATGTCTCTCTTGGTTTGTAACTCATTGTGATTGAATATATACCTTTTGTATTCTGCTAACCCTCACTATAAGATATGTTATGTTTATATGCACATTTTATGTATTAATAAATGTATTGTCGTGTATTAGTATCCGTGTGTGTGTGTTGCTGAGTTATCCACTACAATTAATAATTGTCCCAGTAAAGGCACAAACCCCTACACTATGAACTACAAAAAACATTACTTCTGAAGCCACAAGGAAAAAATACGAAAAACAAAACTGTACAAAACCAAAATGCTTCAAATTTCAAGAGTCAAGTCAAGTATAGTCAAGTTTAACTCTCTTGTAACAATCATGTTGTTTCCAAAATATTAAGCTTCTTAATTTATGAAGTATTCTCTGTCACATTCAAATATTTCTTAAAATTGTGGGGCTGGTGATATATGCAATTTAAAGATCAAACAGTGGCATCTAATTATAATATTTCATTCAAAATACAGTAATACATTTAATAATAATGAGTGATGCCACATCCTGAAAAATAAGACGTTATCTCGGGAACTAAATGTGATGGGAGTCATTGTTTATGCTGTTTGTAGTGCAGGGGGGGGGACTTTATAGAGCTGCTCTTGAGTTAAATTCCCAGGGTGTAATCGGTGTGGAGCTTGCATGTTCTCTCCATGTACACATGGCTTTCCTCCCACAATAAGCGATACTGTCCTGTCAAGGATGAATCCTGGCTTGCACCCATTTTTTGTCACCGGTTTGTACTGGATAAAGTGGTTAGAAAATGGATGGACTGTTGAATTTATGTAAAAACACTCCAATTAAAATGCAACATGGGAGATATTGGCTTCAAAATTTGATCACTTATACCTACAAATATTTTCAAATACTACTGAAGTCTGTATATGTCATATGGTAATGTTTGTTTTACAAGTTGTTTAACAGATTTGTTATTAAAACTACTTAAAAGTTTTATAAACTACTTAAAGTTAATATATAGCGTCTTTTTAAATGTGTGGCTCGACAGAAGGGTTGAAACTTTAAACATTCAAGGATTCAATGATAAACGGATCAGAATCACCTTTATTTTTAAAAAATCAACACTGCTACGAATGACGGCAGCTGGTCAAAATCTTTAATAAAATATAATTAGCTGAAACACCAATTATGGTGGTTTTTGGGGAGAGTTCTATTTTACTGTTCACACAAACGCACGTTTTAAAACATCAACCACATTAATAAATTAGGAAACAAAGGCTACAATTCCCGATGTCTCACACACGGGAATCACATAAAATCATATCCACAGATATTGTATGCAATGAACTGCTGTATGATCAGCATACTGTATAAATATACTGTATATAAGTAAATACAGTATAATAGTGTATAAATACTGTATATACAGTAAATACAGTATAGTTTTAAAGACACTAAAGTACAGTATCAAAATCTAAAGCAAAATTGTTTCCTTATTACTTGTTGCTGAAATTAGCATTAAAAAAAAGATTTTAATGCCAATGTAAATGTGAAAAAGCACATCGTGTTCACAACTATTTTTTATATAGCCAGCTGAGTAATTTGGTTTTGCAGACAGCCCTACTTTCTTTTTTAAAATATTAATTTAATATTTAACATACTGTAATATAGAGTATACAATTAATAAAGTTATAAAGTAAACAGTGTTTTGAAAACAGGCGTTATCAGGTGTCTTCGCAAATGCTTCCATATGTCACTTTAAGCATTCACGGTCCCTCCTGGTGGTTTAACAAGTAGTAGAGTTCTGCAACAAGAATATTCTAAAAAAGCAAGGTGCAATATGGTATGTGGAATGTATTGTGCTGCATTATTCATCGTTCATTCTGAATGGCTGGATCTAAGTAATCTACATTCCAAGCCTAAAATCTAAATCTAAGTAGCCTTTTAAAAAGAACAAATATTCCTTATACATGTACAGTTAGCTTATGTACAAACCAGACTCTTTCTTATCACAAGGAATAAAAAAGATCTCAAAACACAATCTTTTGTGTCTTACTTTAATTAGATACTGCTACATTCAGTAACAAGTTTCAGTACTAATGTTTTTGTTCTGCTTGTTAACACATGCTTGTTAACTGCAAATTAACACCAGGGTGTAG